TGTACCAGGTATAGAACTAGGGTTCTTGCGCTTGTGAGGCAGGTGGCAGCACCACTGAGCTAAATCCCTGGCCCAGTAGTTTTTTGTTTTTTGTTTTTTTACCAGGGATCAAACTTGAGCCCTTGCAGTAGCCAGGCAGGCGCCGGAACCACTGAGCTAAATCCCTGGCTCATTTTTTAAGGAATAGACCAAGTAGGAATATTTGGGAACCTGACCTGGTGCTCTAGCTGACTCTAATTATCCTCCATCTCTCCTCAGACCTTCCTGGAGCAGTCAAAAACCCGGTTTAACAAGAACTACAAGGGGATGAATCTGTCTAAAATTACCACCACCGTGGGTCTAAACAGTAAGGGGGCACTTTAGGGCTGTGAATGTAAGGGGGCACTTTAGGGCTGTAAGGATCCTGTGATGTCTACAACCTAGTTGGCCAGTGACCAGAAGCCTGTCTGTTGGAACTCTGCTCAGCCTCCTTTGAAGTGGCATTGATGTGGTATAGTGTATGCATGGGAGAGCTGGGACTTGTGTGTCAAGGACTAGGTCTTGAGTTTGCCTTTTCTCTCTCTCCCCAGTTGGCACTGTGGACATAGGAAAGGCTCGCCTCATGTTCTGGGACTTAGGGGGACAGGAAGAGCTGCAGTCTTTGTGGGATAAGGTAAGACATACACCACCTTCCTCTTGCTTGGCACTGCCTACTCCTATGCAGTTTCTCTCCAGATGGTAACCCTTTGTTTCTTCCTCTGAGAGAGAGATCTCTTTACCTACTTTGTTCCTGAGGATTTTCCCCAGTTACTTCCTGTTTCATCCTAGTCAAACCCCCAGCCGGAATCACCACAAAAGTGGCTGTAGGGGCGGTAGAGGAGTTCCCGCAAAGGATTGGCTGGGCTTCTCGAGGTAGAGCTAGTTGAGATTCCAAAGAAAGAAGCATTGTTCACCAGAGTCAGTACAGAGAACTTACTGGGATAATTCATAGAGGGCTGTAGCCTGTCCTTTTTGCAGATAGCAAAGAAAGATGTTCTACAAGTACCCGGTATTTCCCCCAACAAAGGGTCAGGAATAGGGTTTATATAAAAGTTTAAGGAATCTACTTCAGTTATTTTGAGTGTTTTGAGGAACAACCTAAACCCCTTATCAGTGCCTAGAATGTTTAAGGCCCCAGCTTAGGCTCAAGCCTGCGGGGAAAGTCATGCATCCGGCTGTGTCTCAGAGCCATCAAGATACCCGTGTTTCTTGATCAGGAGAAAATAAAAAACAGAAAAATTTTAGAGCGTCTGTATCCTCTAAATATGAAGACACAGTTGCTCTCTTTCACCTTAGAGATTTTGTTGTTGATCACTATAGGACACAGGAATGACAAAGACAAAATGTGGGAAGGGCACAAGGCTCGAGTTTACTGGTGGCTCAGTCTGCCTCATTTCTAGCTTACTATCCACTTCTCAGGAGTGGCCTCTTCCCCATCTAGAGGAGCATATCCTCAGTGCCAGGCAGCAGTTGCCTCCTCTTTTAACAGGTTTTGGGCCTTACTGAGACCCCAGTGTGTTAGCCCTCACCCCACTGTCCCTAGACTATAGTCTTTGTCCGGCTCAGTGTGTCGCAAACACTAAATCCAGCACTAAGGAAGAGAGACCCAGCTCTTCTTTCAGGAAATACCTGACTCAACAGGTTGGCATAGTAGGTATGGGGTAGTTCACTGCTGCATTGCAAAACCCTTTGCCACTCTGATGCTTGCCAACTGGCCTGTGTTAGAACCAAGGCTCACATGACCTGGATTTCCTTTCATGGGCCCCACCAAATTATTCCCGCCTACATGACTTCTAGCTAAAAGGGTGGCATCTGTCCTATGACCAGAAGGTTTCTGACATGCTCTCTATGGCCACTTAGATCAGACAGGGGATGAACCAAGTTAAGGCCTGCTTGTCCAAAAGCCAGGTATATGTGGGCATTCACAGATGACATTCTTGTCACAGGATGGGACCAAGGGAATAGATGCCAAGATGCATTGGGTACAGAATGCATATTAAGTATCAAGAACAGGAAGACTGCAGGAAGGGCATAGTATGGAGCAGGAGGAAAGATCAACTTGGGTGACTGGGGCAGTGGGGCAGTGGCTGGCCCAGTGGGAAGCACTGGAGGAGAGTTGGTCATAAGTGGACTGTGTCAGCCAGAGCTGCCCAAGACTCCATATTGCTGCCTGGCGGGCCACTGCTATGATAGATATGTATGACCTGGAAAGGTGACTCTTAGCAGCCAAAGTGAGGCTATGTACTATGCACAGCTTGCTTCTTACAGTGTTTTTGGTTTGGTTTGGTTTGGTTCCAAGGATCAAACTTGGGACCTTGCGCTTGCAAGGCAGGTGGCAGAATAACTGAGCTAAATCCCCGGCTGCCAGCCTGCTTCTTGAAAGCAGCGCCACAATGGGGTTCACATGCCTGTGTTGGCCACAACCCACCTGTGCACTGCTTGGATCTGTACCTCTTATGTTGGGGCATGGCTTCCCAAGTGAAACTGGCAGGGAAATGATGAGGTGGATTAGAGTCTTTGCGTATGGCGTAGAATTGTGCTCATTTTTGATGCTTCTTTTGTTAGGGTGTGACCTCATCCTGGTGGTCTTAGCCCTTCTCCAGAGTTGCCAACCTTCCTGCCACTCCAGGCAGTTATCCATGCCATGATGGGGTCTCTCTAGACACAAAGAGCCCAGCATGCCCCACACAGCCGTGGTTTATGACTGAGGGGTTTGGTTCATTGTACTGCTGTGGTGGGCAGGACCCCCTAACCCTGTAGAGCCCACAGTTGGAACAGGCAGCACAGCTCCCCATGGGTTCTGGGAGGGACAGGTAGCAACTCCTGGTTCCTGGATTCTGTGTCCTTATTGTTCAAGCCCAGTGCCCTAGAAAGGTCTCCATTTGGGACAGTTGGTCATATCGTGGGGCTTGGGCCTCCACATCTCTGCCTCCCTGTAGGCACTGCAGCTGGCCATACCCCATATGAGAGTGTCTGGATGTACTATGACTGTGGTGTACAAAGTCTTTTGTTCAGGCATGCAACTCATGGGCTGATGTGATGTGATATAGGATCGTGTGCTGGTATCTCATACCTGAGGGTCCCCCATTGCTGCTGGGGAGACAAACACCCGCGGTCCCTCTGACTTTCTTAAAGGATAGCACAAGGCACTTGTTGAGCTCATCTCAACTGCTGCTATCAGGCCGAGCATCTGTTGGTGGCTCCATGAGCCTTGCTTAGTGGTCCACGGAGACTGTCCTATTAGGCCTATATTCTGCCACCATGGCTACTGCATCGAGCTTGCCACATCACTTTGTCCCCAGTGGATGCTCTAATAGACCTCGAGATGGGTCATTCCCTGTGGTTGTTGCTTCCACCCATCCCAGGCCTTCTTGTGGTAATGCTGCTGCCCACGGGTCTGACACATGCCAGTCTCTGGCTATAACTTCTCACAAAGAAGACCAACTGGACTGCCTGTTCTCTGTCCTCAGGGATGATACCTCTTGGCCTCTGTCTGAGGTATTTTCTCATTGCTGGCACAAAATACTTGACACCTACAAGTTAAAGGAGAGGTTTATTTTGACCCCAGTTTATAGAGGTTTCAGTCCATAGTCACCTGGCTCCAAGAAAGGGTGCCATGGCAGAGGAGAAAGAGTTCGAGACATGGCAGGCAAAGAGCAGGGTCAAGGGAGGAGGAGGCATATCCATGCTAACTCTTCCAGGGCACGTCCGCAGTGACCCAGCCCTTCCCACCGGGCTTCACCTTCCAACATTATACCCAGCTGTAAAGCCCTCAGTGGACTGAGCCAGTGTCACAGACCCATGATCCGGTCACCTCCCAAAAGCCCCACCTGTAAGCACATGAGGCTTTGGGGACATCTAGGTATGAGCCCAAACAGTCTCTCTCTCAAGGCGTGGCATGAGAAAGGCTAGTGCAGCTACCATGCACCTCTGGCCTGTTGCAGAGTGTTCATCTGAGCCAGCTGTGACCAATGAGCCATGCTTGGGTATTCCTTCTGCTTACACAGGATCCCCATCACCACAACCCCTCCCTTGAGGGTTGATGTCCCGTTTCCATCTCCCTGGTTACTGCTGAGCTGTCCACTTTGCCGGGAAGGTATTATGGGCAGCTCTGGCTGCTTGGTCCACGGGTCTGGCCTCTGGTCACCCATGACACTCGTGCTTGCTTGGGGCTACAGGTACCACATGCTGAATTGGGGGCTTACTATGACCCCACACGGCATTCCTTCCCACCATAGAGGGCTCCACAGTGAGACCTTCCAGCTCCATGCCTCTTGCAAAAGGGCAGCCCACTTGCCCAGTAGCCAAAGCAGATGCTGTGTGTGGGTCTTACTGCAGAACCAAGGAGGACATCTGACCACAGGCCTCCTCAGCTCTACTGTGGAAATTGCAGGTGCTGTAGCTTTTTTGTTAGTGGTTTGGCCCTTAAAGATCATGCAGAGACAGCAGGCTGCTGTGTCCCCTGCTCCCCTCTTCACCCCTCCTTGTACTGGGCAAACCCAGGCTTTCACACTGAGCTATATCCTACCACCACCACTCCTCCTTTTTCTTATTTTAAGATGGTCTTGCTAAGCTGCCCAGGCTGAGCTTGAAATCCTTCTGCCTCGGCCTTTCAAGAGTTCTAGGGTTACAGGTGCAGATCACCACTCCTGGCTTCCCGCTCTAATTGTCCACGCTCAGGTGCATGTGACCACTGGGTCAGTGTTGAGTTCTACTGTGCTAGGGAAGGGGAGCTGGCATGATGCTGAGGTAAAATGGCCAGTGTGTGCTTTTGGCTATACCCCAAGGATATGGCTGATTCCATGATCCTGTCTTCACTTCCCAAGCTGAGTCCCTGCTGCTATGTGGGTCTGTAGCTCCTTGCCTGCCCATGTGTCTTGCCAGTGGTGCTGGTCCAGCCTGCAGAGATCTGAGATCAGCAGTTGGCACTGTCCTGGAAAGGACAGGCAGGCAGCTTAGTAGGCAGCTCCAGCCTCACCCAGTGGCCTCTGGGAGGCTCATTGGTGGTACACCTGGCATCCATATCACTGGGTTTCCCTCTTATGCCAAGCATCACACAAGCCCCCACATGTACCCTCATGGGAGCTGCACAGCTGTCTCGGCTCCTTCAGCCCATCTCACTTTTGCTTATTTCTCACCACCATCAGGCTAACAGCTGCACGTAGATTCTCAGGAGCTGCATCTGGGCAGTGGGAGGCCAGCCACCTCACCAGGGCTCTCCTGAAGGGGCCTGGGTATTTTCCCCAGTGATTCTCCAACCCCAGAGGTCATCCCAGCACGTCTTACAGTTGGAGCTGTGCCTATTCCCAGACCGTGGCTCCCGTGGTGGCTGCCAGTCTCTGCCTGTCCCTTCCTGTTGTGGGCCTCTCCTGGTGGCCACAATGCAGGGCCTGACTGGCTGAGTTTGCCCTTGGCAGGGTGGCAACTCCAATCCCAGCTTCCATTGTTTTCTTCTAGTACTATGCAGAGTGCCATGGTGTCATCTATGTCATTGACTCCACCGATGAAGACAGACTGTCAGAGTCCAAGCAGGCATTTGGTGAGTGTAGCCTGGCCACTCCCAGAAGAGACCATGAAGTCCCAGGCTTTGTAGGGAGGGCCATGGAGAAATGATCAGGTCCAGTCTGGACATCCTGTGTATCTAGAGCTGGCCCTGAGAGAGGCTGGCCCAGCACCTGGTTGGAAGTGCCCTTGTCCTCACGGAGAGGTCCCTGAGCACATTTCTATGTGGGAAAATGGGAAATGGGGGAGGAAGAGGGAGCCCTGTCTCTACTGACCATCCTGCGGGTCCCTGGGCAGGGCCTGCAGGTCTAGGCAGGATGCAGTGTATGAGGTGCCCCCCTCTCCCCTCCCCAGAGAAGGTGGTTTCGAGTGAGGCTCTTGATGGTGTCCCCATTCTGGTGCTGGCCAACAAGCAGGATGTGGAGGTGAGCCCCACCCTACCTCCCCCTGTAGCTTGCCCCTGCGTCCCTAGTGCATGGGGCACCCACAGACATCGTGGGCCCTGTGTCCGCCTTGGTGTACAGAGCCCCTCTGGAGGACCCTTCTGCCCCCTACCCTCAGGACCTCCAGCTTACTGCTCTGTTTCTACTCTGGGTGTCACCAGGAGCTGCCAGTGCTCAAGCAGGCCTTTGCCTGCTGGAGATTCTCCTGCCCTGAGTGCAGGGGAGGTGAGGAGCACCTTCTTTCCACTAGAGGGCGGCCGACCTCCATCCAGGGTGTCGGGGGCTGCTGGTGGGGAAACCCAGGCAAAAGCTCTGAGCTCAGAAGGGCTGGGGTACAGAGCGCTGGGCCTAGGAAAGAACCAGCATCTGTGCCAACCACCTCCCAAGCCAGGGACCCCTCTAGTGTCACCACTGCCCCTGGGACTGCATCTGAAGAGGTTCAGGGGCAAGGTTCCCTTCCATTTGGCTTTATGTCCCAGTTGTCCCTTGTTCCCCCTACTGCCCTGTGAACCTGGAGTGCCTTACTTGCTCCTCTGAGAGTCCCAGAACCATTACTGAGGGGGGTGTCCAATAAGGGCAGGGGTCTTCTCTCAGAAGACAAGGTGAGCAGAAGAGCTGCCAGGGCCCTGCTCCTCCCCGCTCCCTTACTTCTCTGCCTTTGGGGCTCAGATCCTCACCACGGAGCTCTGAGTCCTTGCCTGGAGCTTGCTGTAAGGACTGGCCTCGTTTTAAGGGCGGGGGCAGTTCTGGACTCTTGTGGCCTTTTGTTGGAGCCTCATGGCCAGTCTTGGGTAGACCTTTGGGCTACTTGGTGTCCTGACTACTGTGGCCTCAGTGTGAGGACGCTGGCTACCTGGCAGAGCTTTGCTCCAGGTGGTCTCCTGGGGTGAAGGTTTGGTACCTTCTGAAAGCCCGAGGATGAAAGCTGAACAGGGGCAGGCCATGGGCCACTCCTCAGGGTCTTGCCTCCTCCACCAGATGTGCCTCTCAATCCCTGACATCAAGACTGCATTTAGCGACTGCAGCTGTAAGATCGGCAGGCGAGACTGTCTGACCCAGGCCTGCTCTGCCCTCACAGGGTGAGTCCAGGCTCCACCCTGCAGGGGTCCTGCGGCCAGAGACAGCCCTCCCTTATACCCACTGTCTTTGCAGCAAAGGAGTACGCGAGGGCATTGAATGGATGGTCAAGTGTGTCGTGCGGAACGTCCACCGGCCACCACGGCAGAGGGACATCACGTAGGCGCTGCCAGCTTTGCCGTCCCAGACGGTTCGTCCCCTAGTGCTGGAGGAGCTCCCGGCTGGCTCCTGTGCCACTGATCCTGGGGGTTGGGTTTGCTTGCCTTTTGATTCTTTCATTTGCTTTATGTTTTCTCTAAGACAAACTTTTTTGTGTCTGGAAAAGTATAGACATCCAGAGGTTTCTGCCAGGGGACCTGGGCAGCTGGGCCTGCCTGGCTCCATATTGGCCACCACAAGCCTTGGGTCCTACCTGATACTCGCAAGGGCCCTGTGACCCTCTCAGCCTAGGCCTCAAGGAAGGTGGGGGAACAAGGCCTTGGCTGGATACGCCACCCTGGGCCCGCCTGCTGTCCCAGATGGAGCCTGAGAAGAGCTGTATTGAAAGTACGGGTTTGTCTGTGGCAGCTACTTTGTCTCATTTGCCAGATGATGTGGCCGTGGCTTATCCTGGAGCAGGCGTGGCAGCCAGTATTCCCTTGAGGAAGATCCAGCCTACATCGCTAGAGGCCAGCACGGCCCTGGATTTTGTGGCCACCTCAGGCCAGGGCTGGGATGACTTGGAAGCCATACCCCCCACTGGCCCATTCTCACCACATTTAATGTCAAAGGGAAAGGGGTACCATGGAAATGCTGGGAGGTCAAGCTGGGTATCTGTGTCTTTATGCCTCCCACCCCATCTAGCAGATTGGGCAGCCTTTCTGGGGGCAGAGACTTCCCTAGTCCAGCTCAGGTGGTACCCTGGGGTACCTGGTTGAATTGGGTTCATACAGATCCCAGGGCAGCGGTGTGCTGAGCCTGCATGCCTGGCCCTGGCTGGGTATGAGGAGAGGGGTCCCATGTGTCCCCTGAGCCCTGCAGGTGAGGCTGCTCTCTGACCTTCCCGTAGCACCACTTGGGCCACCCTCCCCAGGGTGGACAGGCAAGAATGCAAAATAAAGACAGCCTGACTGGGTCCTGCCCATCCATTCCTCCAGACAGCCCAAAGGCCAAGTTCCCTGCTATCTAGGCATAGTGACCACAGCAGAAAGTTGCCACTCTTGGGTCCCTGGTGGCTAGTGGACATAGCCTGACTGGGCATTGTTGTCCTGCTGTTGTGGGAAGTGGCCTGGCCATAGCCCCCATGACCTGGTGGCTTTGTCCTTTGTCCAGACTGCCCCTCCCCTGGGGGGGGATCTCTCAGGGGGCGCTGGAAGGGCCAGGAATTGGCCAGTGAGCCGGCATGTCTGGTTGTAGGGGCTGTGACTCACAGGGAGGTCCCTTTTCCTCTCTGGGGCCCTGATGTCATGTAGGTTGGCTCCTAGGACCTGTGGGAAGGGCTGAGCTGCCAGCCTCAGGAAGGATCTGGCCACCTGGGAGGTCAAGGGGCAGTTGGAGCAGTCCTCCTGGTCAGTCTGCACAAACTCGAGGCCCCTCAGCCTCAGAAGCCTTAGAAACAGGAACAGCCTTGGCCTGACCCCTGGGATTTCTCGAGATCCCTGGAACAGTGTCATTGCCTGCCATCCATCAGTGCTGTCCTGCCACTGAGCAAGATTGGGGGCTCACGAGGGAGTCTGGGGCAGACAGGGAGAGTGGGGTGGTCATGGCCGTCGCTGCTGCACCTGCCCAGATAGGACCCAAGTGAGCACAGGGGATGGGTAGTCTGTCTCTGTCCGGGGTGCAGTGGGGCAGGAAACACCTTGGTGAGATATGACTGGCCCTTCTGCTCAGGCGTGCTTTCGCTCCAAGAGCAGAGGCACAACTTGAGGACAACAGGATTAAGAAATGGCTTTATAAAATAAACTTTGAGAAATCTCTTCGGTGCGGTTGAGGCCCATGCTGGCACGGGACTGGGATCAGGCTGTGGCTCAGCCGGCTGGGAGGAAGCGAGCGCGGATGCTCCGCTCCAGCCCTGGCAACCCTGCAGAGCGCAGCGCGGCCAGCAGCTGCAGGAGTAGTGGCACATCCCGCGCCCCGCGGAGCTCAGACAGCCGCCTTCGCAGCTTCACCTGCAAGGCCGCACGGCCCTCCCTGGATGGCGACAGGCCCTGATCCCCTGGGCCCCCTAGGGCCTGCTGCAACCGCTGTAGCCTTTTGAAGGAGATGTCCTGGAAAGCCACGAAGTCGATGACAGCAAGGTCGCACTCCTCGGTCCCTGCAAGACAGTGCAGGGGAGGGTGCGTGTCACAGAGTTCCTAGAGCAAGGGAACTGCACTGGGTAGGCGATGGAAACGTCAGCTGTGCCGGCGGAGGTGGAGAGGGGGAAGCCACCCGTTGAGCGCGGGAGGCCCAGGACAGGGTTCCAGGTGACCGAGGATCGGCCCCTTCCCTCAGGCGCTCCAACCTCAAGCGGACTGGGAGCGCTTTCCAGCGCTACCTGGGGGAGTGGGGGGTGGAGTGTGCCCAAGACCCCGCTCCTACCTGCATTTTTACTCTCCGCGCCCTCCAGAAGAGCTTCTGTGGGGTCCCCAGCCCCACACACCCTGCTTACCTGGCTCGCCGGGCCCCAGCGGGAAGCCAGCGCAGCTGGTGCACTGGGCGTCCCAGGAGGAGGAGCCTGGCACGTTGAGGGCAAGGCCCAGAGCCGTGCAGTTGCGGTGGGGGCGGCACTCCTCCGAGCTCGAGCTGCTGGCTGAGAAAGTGCCTGCGGGACAAGGCTGGCACTGCGTATTCTGGCTGGGGGTGCCTGGCAGGAGAGGAGAGCAGGGTCAGCGCGGTGCCTTTCTCTGCCAGAGAGCGCGGGCACCCTCTCCACGCCCACCACCCACCCGGGGCGGCTACGCCGGTGCCGGGTGGACACAGCTTGTGCTCCAGGCAGAAGCCGGAGTGTGCGAAGAAGCCCGGGCGGCAGCGGCAGGCGCGGTTGTGGGTGGCGCTGCAGGGCCGCGCCTCTTCCTCCTGCTCCCCGCAGATGACATTGCAGTAGCGGCAGCGCTCCAGGTAGTTCCAGAATTGCGTGTAGTGGCGCGGCGGG